ATTTCATTTCTCTCTGCTTCTGTTCTCGTCTGAAAACACACACATAAACAAAAAGGCGATAATTTTGCCTACCTCCTCAGGTTGCTGTGGTTATGATATAGTTAATGGAAGTAAAGTTCCAGAACACCGCCTGATGCCAAGGAAGTTCTCTGTTTCTCATCGTCTAAGGAGTGGCTCCATCCTGTGGAAATAAGAAAATCATATAATTCCTAAATACCCCTCATGTTTTTGTTGTAAACCTAAATCACATTTTCCTAGCCTTCCATACATTTGCTAACATCGTGAGGTTTGGTTTTCCGCCCCCGCCCCCCAATTGAATATGTTGCAGGCAAACTAAAGGTGTGTGTCCGCCTGAGGCCAGACTTGCTGATTTTAGTACTTCTCAACTCTGGCCTTATCATATCAAGGTTATGAGGTTACGTGTCTTCTCTGGTATCATCACCTCATCATGTCTGCGCATCTTATAAAAGAGTAAGGGCAAAATGGTCAAGTAACTGGAGAATACTGATACACAGGCCAAGGTAGCTTGAACTGAACATCAAAAGCACCTACTGAGGGCCCTGGGAAAATGGAAATGAAGTGTCCTGCCCCAGAGGGGCTCACACTCTCCTGAAGGGCAAACCTAATCAAGCTGGTCTTCAGAGTGCAGGGAAGGAGCATAGCTGGATGCATAGGGATTCAGTCAAACCCAGAGGAGGGGACAAGGATCCTGGCTGTGGCCAGGAAGTGTGGTCACAGATGCCAGAATTGCACAGTGAAAAGAGAGAAGCAGGCTGAGGCCTGGCTTTGCCGATTTCCCCTGGCAAATTAAAGTCTCTGAATCTCAGTTTCCTCATTGCAAGAGGAAAGATAAGATCCACTTCAAGGGTTGCTTTACAGGATTAAATGAGACATAGCAATGTGCTCAGGGGCGCTTGGCTGGCTCAGTTGGTGAAGCATCTGACTCTTGATCTCTGGGTTTGTGACTTCGAGCCTGACGTTGGGTATAGAGATTACTTAATAAGGAAAGAAAAGAAAAGAGAGAAAAGAGAAGAAAAAGAACATGAAGAAAGAGAAGAGAAAGAGAAGAAAGAAAGAGAAGAGGGGTTAGTAAATTGCTAGGCACATAGAAGCGCCTTGGCCAGGAGCAGTAGCTTAGGAGGAATAGAGACATTGGAACAAAGTAGGAAGATCAGCACAGAGGATGAAGTAAGTGGGCCACACCATCCTTCACTGAGGGAAGAAAGTATCAGGGCAGACAGGGCCCGCAGAGACTGGAGGAAGCCAGTGAGAATCCCCAGGCAAGCCATGAACAGAGCCAAGAGTGAGCATGGCCAACCCCACTTTCAGAGGCTGAGAATGAACAAGGCAGAGAGCTGGAGCTCCTCCCTGAAGGCCTTAGCTTTCTGCACAAGAGAGAGAAAGTGTATCCGCTGATGATAAGAGTCGAAGTTGGGCAAAGCTGGTAGGGAAGGGAGAGAGAGAGAGCGTTGCCCAGATCCACATGACAGCATGACTGAGGGACCAAGTGGAGGTGGGGGCACTACACGTATTCAGTTGTGTGATTTTCTCCAATGTGGCTCACCAACCTGTTAACAGGACAAAAGGAAAGTAGTTGTACTGGTCCCAGGCAGAAGCTTTATGAGGAAGGTGTGGGGGTGGGGGGTGGGGGGGTGGGAACAAGGCTGGCAAATGCCGGGAAGAGAGTGGTTGGAACAATACAGCACAAAGTCAAGGTTATAGAGGAAGTGGAGTGAGATTGGGGAGGGCTGGTCCAGAGGGGACTCCAGGATGTGGGCTCCAGGAAAAGAAGTACAATGGGATGGCCCAGCAGGTGGAGTGGGAGAAGAGGGAGGGAGGCTCAGAGCCCGGGGGAATCTGATGGTTGGTATAGAACAATCTTGAGTGGTAACAAGATTTCAGGTGGGTGAACAGATGTGAACGGACAGATCCTTTAGGGCCTTTCAAAGATGAGCAACAATGCTAGACCAAGATGGAAGGGGACAGAAGTGCTGAATGCCTACTTTAAGAGGTGCTTTATATAAACTATCTAATATTACCCTCCAACAACGCTTCAAGTTGGGAATTCATGAAAAAATGGAAATCGAATAGATTGCCAAGGCTCTCAACAGCTGTGGAGCCAGGAACCTCAGATTTAATCCCAGAGCTGCCTGGTTCCAAAACCCGGATTCTTTCCTCCTTCCCCGATTTCCCCACACAGGTGGCACTTGGGACCTTTCTAATTCATTCTTATCATTTTTTAAAGTTTATTTATGTAAATCATCTCTAATACCCAACGTGGGGCTTGAACTCATGACCCTGAGATCAAGACTTGCATGTCCCTCTGACTGAGCCAGCCAGGCACCCCCAATCTTATCATTTTTCACAGCTCTCAAGGTTGGAATCTCTGACTCTTGGGATCCTGAGCAGCCGGTAGGTGCCACCCAGCAGGCCCTGAGCAGTGATAAAACGCTCCTGAGCTCAGCCCTGTGTTTATCGCCTGTCTGGCAGCAAGATAGCTCCGGGTGAGGGCTGGGACTCTCAGCAGGGTGGACCCCACTGCAGAGGGGGTGAGGGTGAAGGGAAGAACAACCGGAAGTGCCTGGACCTTTCTGTTGAAACTCTGAAGGCGTTTCTTATGACTGACCTGCTCAGTAAGTCATTCATTCAGCAGCAGGAGGTTGGAGACGGTCAGATCTGGGTTCCGATTCAGCTCTGGGACTTGTGTTGTGTGACTTTGGATGACAACAACCAACTTTCTCAGTTGACCCAGAATTAAAGTGTTTTCTGGGATGTGGAACTTCAAGTGCTAAAACCAGACGGTCCCGGGTGCCTGGCTGGTTCATCAGTAGACCATGTGGCTCTCGATCTTGGGGTCATGAGTTCAAGCCCCACATTGGGCATAGAGCTTACATTTTAAAATGAATGAATGAATGAATGAATAAAAATAAGGATGGCCCCAGGCACAATGGGAATGGTTGGTCACCCCGGTTGGG